CAGAATGACTCATTGTTTGATGAATAAGGCCCTGAGTGTTCTGTGGTTGCCATTTTAAAATTTGAATAAAATGTATAGAATTCAAATCATAACTTGAATTCCAGATTGGGACAGATCATGCTCAGTGGTAAAACTGCAGTGTTATAGCAATCTGCTGCTTCGGGTCAACTGCTAACCAGCAACTTCAGCACATAAATGGCACACTCAAGATGTATGTTCTAAGCCCTCTAAGGAATTGGGAGTCTTAATCTATTTGTAGCTTTTTATTATTGAGTAATGAACTGCTGCCAAAATACTGGAACCAATATGCAAAACGTGTATTAAATCAAGCATAATTAAAGGAGAAAATCTCCCCAAAGACTGAACAGAAAGGTACAAAACACATTTATGGGAAGTAAACTTTTTATTACCTGCTATGACCAAGGAGCAGTTTTCTGGTTAATCATTTTAATAGAATTGCCATATATGAGATGCATGAATGACCAGTTATTAAAATACCTTCTACTTAAACCTAAGACTCTACTAAGCACAGTTTAACATTTCTTAAGGTTTTTAAGTAATTCAGAATCCTGTATGCTTCAAGGTCAGCATTACAAAGCTAAATTTATCTCATATAGTTGTTTGACATGTAAAAGCATCAATTATAGACCTCGGCTTGGCAGAGTATTGGCTAAACTAGATTTTTACCATTTATGTTCTATGAGTTGAGTTGGAAGCTCATGTTAGCATTGACTCTCTGATTTCTTCTGATGGGAAAATGCCAAAATGTTCTGCTGCAAATTAAACATTACTCTTAACTAATCTACCAAAATGTTTAGTTCTGAACACAGCATACCCATTACCCCATGACCTCAAGTGCTTCTAAGTGGAGCCGCCTCGGTTGGCTCCCCCTGCCTTGCCAGCGAGTCTCCACCTTGTTCTATCCTGCTTGTGCTCTTTGCTCTCAGAAGCTAACTTCAGGCGTGGCCTCGACCTTTCCCTCCTGCCACCCTCACCCCATCTGCTTCTGAATGGGTTTGGTGAAAGAAAGTCACCAAGAAGAAGTTGCAAGGAAAGTAGAGAGAGTTTAGGGTACTAAGTCCCCTGACTGTCTCCCTGCTGGCCATGGGTGGCCTGGCTTCATTTCTTACTGAAGGAGTTCACCTCAGACCATTCCAACTCTTAACTCCAGCTTCTGAGAGCCATTCCCTCTCCTTATTGTTTTAGTCCTGGGCTGCTCCTGGGACACCTCACTATCCTTTTTGGTCTCCCCAACTTTGCCCAATCTTTTAGTAATCTTTGCATTAAACTTCCCTCAGTTTCCCCATCTAATGTGCAGTTTTGTCCTGATTCTGATTCAACATCTAAAGTCAGCATTAGGCCAGATAGCACAAGTTAGAGTCACACACTTTACATCTTGTGTGAGAAATGAGCAATAAGGGAATGGATATTTATCTTTCCCCTGATACCATAAGCTCTGGATGGGCAGGGACCGTATCTAATACCTCCTTTATAATTCTTCACAAAAATCTGGCAAAAGGCTTAACTCACAGTGCATGCTCAGTGCACATGGAAGGTCTTGAGAAGTTACTCCAAAATCCTCAAATTTGTTACAGGCTTAAATGGAATGTAACCTCTTGACTCAGGATATAGACAGAAGTCAAGGGCCATGTTATTATTTTTTTTTCAATAGCATTTCTAATGTAATATAATCTCACATGATGCAAATATATCATACAGATGCTAGAAATTCTAACTCAATAAAATTAGAAGATTTTTTTCATGGGTCAGGTTGATTTGTGTTTAATGGATGAGAAGTAATTTTATTTTAAAAGTTTAGATTAATATTTCTTTATATTATCAACTCATCCCCTGCAACTTGCTTTTTCTATCTGTGTGTTTGTGCATGTGTGCACGTGTGTGTGTGTGCGCGTGCGTGCATATGAGTGCACTGGGGACTTCTTTTGCAATAGTATTGGCAATTTTCTGAATATAACCTCGGTAGGGGGAACATGTAGAATGTAATTAAAGTAGGATGTAAGAACAACAGAACAAAGGGAATAGTTACCAGAGCAGGTATCTTTACTATTTCTTTAGGGTTCCCATTGCTGCTTTACTTTGACCTTTATCTTAATGCCAAACTGCTCTAAGCTTGAAGCTTCAAAAATATTTCATATTCTATGTAATATGGAAAATAGTTTGAATTGGAAAGCACTAAGTTGTAATGATATTGTCTTTGAATTCACTTTCTACTTTGTACAAATCTATGTTATAATATCTAATTTCTCAGAAACTAGTGAAAATGGGAAAAAAAACAGTTTAGGAAGAACTGGTCTTTGGATTTTCTTTACTGAAGGGAAACTTCTCGGGAAGTTCAAAGAGCAGATTCTTCACTATTCATATTTTGCAAACAAGATCATTTCTTTGACAAATGGAGGCAAGTGGAACATTGTCAACTCAGATAAGTGTGTCTCCCTGATAAGTGAACTGTTTAAAGATAATCTCACTAGTCCCCTATTTGGGCAGTGATCGAAGCACTCTTAGATAAGTTTAAACCAAAAAAGCATGGAAAATATTTTTGCCAACTGTTTCTTCTTGGCTTCTTGGCAAAGACTAACAGTTACGTTCCCTATCTAGGGACTATCTCTTATGGGCCAGACCGGATGATCTAATAGGTCTTTATAATCTCTCAATACTATGACTTTTATCCCCAAGTGAACTACATCGTTTATTTACATAGAAACACACTCCAGGCTTAAGGAAATGCAGAATGACTGATGCTAAGGAAAGTGAGCCAGTATGACTCAAGAGTTCACTTTTTTCTAAATAAGAATAAGCAAATTTAAATCAGGGACCTTCTCTCTAGTTCTCCTCCAGCATCTCAGTATGTAGAATTTAGATGTCAGAATTCCCCAGTAGTGAATTAGTTTTCTGCCACCAGCAAATAATAAATTTGTGTTGTCCTGTTAAATCAGAAAACTCTGGCTGTACTTAGCAGGAAAGCTCTTTGATGGAGATTTGGTTTAATTGTTGTTTTAATTTCAAATTCTATCCCAGGCACATGGGAAATTAAAAATGTTGGGAATAATAGAAAAATAAAAATTGCTAGAAAAATACAAGCATGATAAATAAAACATAATCACTGTTCATTTCAACTTTATTAAGAATTTGTTTTTGTGCTGCAGGCTACATTTATCTGACAAATGAAGCATTGGAAGGAATCTCAATTTTTTAATAAAAACTTGTTTTTCCAGGACTATGTTGGCAAAGACAACATTTTAAAAGGAATCTTTCTTTTTTCTTCTATGTTGTACAAATATTTTATGGTTTCTCCGTTGGGTAGTACTTGAGTGCTCTGGAACTCAAAATCAGGGCTGTTTTTATTGCCATTCTGATGTTTTGTTTTTTAATTGACCCTCCTACATAATCAGCATTGAGCACCTTACAAATATAGGGACTGTCGGGGCTGGGGATGTGGCTCAATCGGCAACGCACCCATTTGGCATGTGCAGGGCGCTGGGTTCAATCCTCAGTACCACATAAAATAAAGATGTCGTGTCTACCGAAAAACTGAAAAATAAATATTAAAAAATTCTCTCTCTCTTCTCTCTCTCTCTCTCTTTCTTAATATATATGGACTGTCAAGAGATTTTGCTTCTGAGGGCTTTGGACATCTCAGATGATTATTTACCTAATTTACTATGGCATGTGATTAGAAGAATGTGGTCAAGATATACCTGTTAAGAAAGTGATGAAAAATTAGTATGACTCATGGATTGAGATTCTTAGACAAGTGGACACACTTCAGAATATCTATTTTTAGAGGAGGTGTCTTTATTGCTGATCCCCTCTGTTGGAAATCATAGTAGTCAGAGTTTCTGTCTGGGGGCTTCATGATCGGTCCTTACCATTATGTTCTCTGCTTTCAGAGTCCTAATTATCATTTGGAAAATATTTCTTTTCAAAACTGAGGGAAAAGGCCATATAAATATAATGCACAGCTTACTGACCTACTATGGCCTATTGTACAATTGATTATGTTGCTTGTATGTAAACCAAAGCATTTTTTAAAAAAAGATAACAGCTTTTCTACAGGTTCTATAGAAGTCACTGCTAACCTCTCTGTATTAGGTGGAAATGTCTCTCAGAGTCACTTCTAATAATAAATTCAACACAGAATGTAGTATATATTCTCATCATATAGTTGTATCATTTATTAAGTGAGAATTTGGCCTTCATGGACATAGCTAATTGTACTAACTTCTAAGTTCACTGTCTTAGCACATATTCTATCTACAATTTGTATTTTAATCTCAAGTCACTTCCAGAGCTCATGCTTTGAAATTATCCTAAAATTTATATTGTTGCAAGGTTTGTGTTCATGGTCAAGGGTATGTTTGTTTTGACTGTGTTCTCCAAAGCCTGAGTTAAAGGCCTCTCTGTTTCTCTGCCTGCATTAAAAATTAGGCTGCTTTTTCTTTTGTCTCATCTAATTATTCACTCAAACATTAGCATGTCATATTTCATGATGTTAAGTGGTTTCCATGTCTATTTTAATGTGAATTCTTTGATGGGATAAACTCCATCCTAATTATCGTTTTAGTCCCAAGCTAACACATAGTAGTTGCTCAATAAGTTTTTGTTTACATGATCCTTTTGTTGTTGTTGTTGTTGTTCAGTGAACAATTTTTGACAGAACTGTGGTTTAGGAAATAATAAACTCAGATAGCATTTGAACTCCTCCTGTAAATTCTATATAGTTTTTTGGTAGCACCTACAGAACACTTGCCTTTTGTTCTGCTTCTGTTTCAGTGTATAAAAATCACATCTGAAATAGGTTCAAAATGCAAGTGAAAAGTGGGTGCAATTGAGTAGGAGCTCTTGAGAAGTTTCCTTAGGATATCCCCTGAAGTTAAAGCATTCATTAAAGTATGAACATGTAGAAGAAGCCCCAAAGAGAAATATATAAAGGCTGATCTGTACAGAACTAACTTATTTTCATTACTTTTGTTTTGTTTTAGAGTAATCACATGCAATTTCCTTGCAACAAGACAAAATTTACTTGGGAAGAGGTACTCCTTGTTAAATGGCCAGGGCTTGGGGTGCCCTTTTCTGCATTGTTCATTGAGTGTGAATGAAGCCATCATGGTTGTGAAGATGATGAATGGCTTGGCTTTGATGTTACCAAGCTTTCACAGTTGCTGCATCTTCCTACTGAGTTACATTTCTCAGGACAGTTTTTGATGTTCTTTTTTCAACTAAGGAATACATTTTATGATAATGGTAATAGGGATGGAAATGACGGTGATTTATTTCATTAGAATTCACCATGCAAATGGAATGGAGAATAAATATTGAGTCACATTTGTTTTACTTAATCAAAATTGAAAAGTCCTTCAAATTAGGGGATGCACCATTATAGTATCAACTGTGTCCAGCAATGTCTGTTCAGTGTATTACTGTATTAAATATATTTATCCTGACATTGGCTTCTATTTTGAAATCTCAGGAATGAAGTCCATAAATCTTCACATCTAAGAGAATTTCAGTCAACCCTGCCCAAAGAGTTAATATGTAATAATTAACCACTCATCCTCAGTTTTTCTCAACAGATTTCATTTTTCCTTATCAAATAAGTATTATTTTGCTGTTTTAATTATTAATTACTAATAGTCATTAATTTACTATTCTTTTTTCCCTATTTCCAACTTTATTCTACTAATAATATGGTTCATTAATAATGTGTTCATACCACCCTCAGGCCTGTCTGTTTTTCATAGATTACATGAATCTGTACATATATACATTATATGCTACATATATACAAACACATATTAGGCACATTAGGCACATTAGAACATGTTATTTAATAATTAAATAGCAATTTACTGAGAATTTACAACAGGTGCTATATAAAATTTATAATAGGTGCTAAATTTAAAAATTTCAAAATAATTACTTCATCAATACAAATGTATTGGCTACAGGTCCAAAGCGCTATGGTGAATCTGAGAAAAAAAAAGATCTTTCCAGTTGTAGAATCATAGAAGTCTTCCTGGAAGAGATGTGTTTTGATGTGGGGCTTGTTAGAATGGCTAAGATTTTGAGGGCCAGAAATTAGCAAAATATTCTTGATGAAGGAAAAGTGTAAACAAAGGACTTGGTTGGCAAGCATTAGGATGAATTGGAGAATGCAAATAGTCCATTGGGCCAAGACACAGTTTGCTGATGTTTAGTAGAAAAAAAAAGTGTTTAAAGTAATCTGAAGTCAATTTGTGGACTCCAATACTAGGTAAAGGTGTTTGGAATTTTGCCAGTTCACTGTGGGGAGCCGAGAGGTTGATTAACTGTCTACTTTTGATGATTAATTAGCTTATAAAGTAGACAGGACAGAGTGTGAAGAGACCAGTTAAGAACTTATTATCATGGACTCAGGTGATCTATGTGCCAGGCTGAACGAATGTGTTGGCTGTGAGTGTAGTGAGGAGGGAATATTCCACAGATCTTCTGTCGGCTCACAACAGTGGATGCATAAGAACAAGAGCAGTGAAGACTTGTTGAGGCGGATGAGGTAGATTAATTCTTCTTGGATTTCAACACTATGGTTTTGTGAATTTCTGCAGAAATAGTTGATTGACTGGCAACAATGGAAGCAGAAGAAACAAATGGTGATAACTGGAGATCATAGTTTGAAAAATGAAAAGGTATAGAAGGTCCGAAGATAAGAGATGACGCTAGGAGCAACATCATCAATATGACCTCACAGCTGCCACTGGCTCAATAGAGATACAGTTGAAGACAGCCAAAGAGAGTGATTGGCTAGGGATATGGGTAGCAATTTTGGAGTTTCTACGTCATAAGTTCAAAATGAATAGATTCAACAGAAGTGGAGAGTGGGATGTGTGGTCACTAAATGGGATTTCCTGAATGAAACTGTTCCAAATACTGAGGGAACTCAGGTTGTAGTCATGCATATTGATGACTTAAAGGGAAAGAAAATAAATATCATTAGAATCAATGAAGCCAGGAAATCCCTTAGTGTGGCCAGGATGGCAAAGTCCATAAACTGAGTGGGGACTAAGTTGCAGAATTGAAATACTTCCAAAACTGAAACAAATTCAGAGCCAAATTTCCTTGATGTGTCTCAATCTTAGTGAAGAAGCCTCAATCTTTCTGCTGGGTTCTGATAATTGAAGAATTCTTGATTACTTACTAATTTTTTGGCTCATCATTTAATGCAGTTATTGTACTTATTTTCTTATTCACCAAAGACAAAGGGCTGATAAATCCATAATCTCTGGACGTATTTAAAAGAATAGTCAAAAATCTTCATTACCCACAGACTCCACATTTGTGATATGTGCATTGTGAACATATGCAGAAAAATGAAGAATGTGTGTCACCTGATGCCACATCTTTTACAGTCTTGCACTTTTCGTGGATAGTTTGGCTCTTTAAAATGGCTTCCAAGTATATTGCTAACATGCTGTCTGGTGTCCCTTTGTATAAAAAGACTGCATTGTGCCTGCTGGACAAAATATGTACGGTAGATAAGCTGAGTTCAGACATGAGTCACATGACTGTGACAGTGGGCTCATTGTTAATGAATCAACATTATATATTAAATAAAAAGTCTTTAAATAGAAACACATGTAAAACGAAGTTAAGTCGTGATCAGTTGAAAAACCTGTGACCACAGGCTTCTTTCAGTAACTCTGTCCTTCCTCCAGGAGCAGTTCTTCCGTATTTACTAATTCGCCATTCACAGCAACTATGAAGAGCATGACTACTGCAAATAATAAGAACAGAGTACAACTTGTTTGTTTCAGTGAATGGTAGCTGTAGATCCTTCATAGTACTTCATGTATTTGCATATCAATTGATATGGTAACAAGAATTGGAAATATTCTTGGGCTGTCAAACCAATGGATGCCATGTAACTAAGTCCCTCCCTTGTCCTAGATATTCTATTGATATAGACTGAGTATATTTTGGCTGTTTTGGGGGAAAAATAGTTGACTTTGTATCTTCCTTATAAATAATTCATTCCCCCTTACTCTTATCCTGACCTCCTACCCTGGAGATTTTCTAGAATAATAATTGTACAGGACCTCCCCTGTGCAATTCAGTTGGAGTTTTGAACCTAGCATTCAAAACTTATTTATTTCTGTCACATTTTGTGCTCTTCATTTTGACCTCTTATTGGAGTTCTCTGTAAACTTTGATCTTGTCATCTGGCATAGCTTTTATTTTCTCCCCACTTTCAATATCTGCAGATTTAATAAGAATATAATCTATTTTCATTCAAGGCTTTAATAAAATAAACAAGACAGGGGGTCAAGCACAGAGCTCCTGGGCAAACCATGTAGGTCTAGCCAATTCACAGTATAAAATAGTTCCCATCTATACTTTCATGTGGCCTCCATGTCTTGTCCTGAGGGAATATGGTGGGAGGGTGGAGGTGGGCAGGAAGAACATGGCATGGTCATTGACAATGATGAGCCTGACCTAACTAGAGTCCAGGGAGGCATGTTGGCCAGCAGCTCCGAATCCAGTTACACTTCAAGGAAGATAGGTCACATTATGCCATACAGGGATAGACATTACTGAGAATGACAATTCTATAATGTTTTATTGCTTGTGAAGTTTCCTCACATTCATGGTCTCATAAATATGAAATGGAATGAGATAAGTTGTCTAAGAAGATTTTAGTTTAAGGGATGATAAATTAAACGCAGAATTTAAAGCAGATTATTCTGTTGATGGAATTCTACATGGACTGTGGGATGACGTGACTAGAGAGAGGGAAAGAAGCGACTGGAGTTCTCCAAGAGGTGAGGAAGCAAAGAACTCAGATGACGATGGTAGTGAAAAGTGCACAGGAAAGGACAGATGAAAGACATCTGCTGCACAGAGGAGCAATAGGACTCAGCAACCAAAAATGGATTTGGTGAGGGAGGAGGAGACTCAAATCAAAGATAACTCCCACACTTTATACCTGGAAGATTGATGGTGCAGAGTGTGGAAAAAAGAGAAAGTGGTAAGCGGACCTTGTGTAGGGTGAGGTTAGTTTCATCAACCTGTGCTTGGCTTAATGGTGATGAAGAGACAAGAGGAATTCATAGATGAGAACCTAAGACAGAAGAGTCACCATTTTTAACATAGAGAAGGGTCTTCTGTGGAATGAGATTTTCACCTGGAAGCTTAAATGGCCCCCTTTTGCAATGCAGAACTACAGGATAGCAGCAGCCATCAGTACCCCTTGGTTTTCTAGCACCTAGTTGGATTATTGCAGAAGTGATATATCCTTCCAGTTGAACCAAGGATCGTTTAATTTTGCAGATCCATTTCAGATGTTGTAAATGGCAAATGTGGCTAGAAAAAGTCTTGGAAGAGGAAATTGGCTAAGAAAAAATATGTCTAAATCATAGAATGAGTCATAGGAATAAAATCTTGGATATCTTATTTAACCATCAGCAAATTGTCTGACAAAGTCATCCACCTACTTCTAAATAAAACAAGCTTTCTATGTTTTCTTTCCAGTGGATACTCAATTTATGGTCCTTTTAAACCCACCCCACCCCATACAAATGAATACAAAGAAGAGAATAGAAAGATGTTAACTTGAAATCCCATTAATCAGCCTTTAGAGAAGACCCTATTATTAAGTACTTGATCATCAACATTACCAGACATTTATTAAACATCTGATTGCATTTATGCAAAGAATACACACACAAGGCAAAAGTCACATGGGCCTGCCCTCTCTGGGTATATAGGCCCTACAAGCAAGAGAGAAAATATGGTAAAATGGCCACATAGAAGTGCCTAAATAAAGTGCTTAAATGGCTCTATTCAATTATGTTAGCAAGGCCTCAGCTCTCCTCTTTTATCAAGGAACATAATTTTCCATATAAGTGAACTTTTACAGAAACAAAAGCTTGCCTATCCAGGTATCACAACCCCTGCCTTTTCAGTCTCTTCAAATAATTTTGGAGGGGTTACTGGAAATTGAACCACTGAGCCATATCCCCAGCCATTTTTATTTTTTTATTTAGAGACAGGGTCTCAATAAGTTGCTTCTGGCCTTGCTTAGTTGCTAAGGCTGACCTTGAACTTGCAATCCTCCCGTCTCAACCTGTTGAATTGCTGGGTTACTGGCCAACACCATCATGGCTGACTTCTTTAAACAATCAGTATTTCACTACTTGATGGCTAGGATTCATCCTCATGAGTAGCTGTTAGTGATTTTTGTGTTCTTGGGTGTGTTTCTCTGATTTTTGTTCTTTAGTTGTCTTTTGTGTTCTGCTATGGCAGTTGTATTTCCAGGTTTTCTTGTGCCTGCTTCTCTGTAGATCTCCCTCTTCACTTGTAGTTTGTTGCTCCACAGCATCTTCAGACCTGGGGGTAAAAGCTAACCAGATTGCCACAATCGTAAATGAAAAGGGTCGATAGATAATTCTGAGTGGATAGGCATCGCTGTATTGTGGAGATGGTGAGATTGCCACTTAAAGTGTTTGATTTTCTCGTGTTTGCATTCTAGGCTGGGATCCAAAAAGTTGAGGTTGAAGAAATACTGGCCTCTGGGTATGAGAGGGCCTGCTGCTACATCATACCACTGATGATGAGGTCCCAAGTTAACACCTAATGTGGGGATAAAAATGCAATGTCTCATGTCTGGAAAGTGAAGAAATGACAGACATCACTGTAACCAGCCTGAGAAAATAAAAATTTAGCTTAATATGACCTTATAAAAAGAAGGTTATCCTACTCTAGTTCTGAATGTCCTCTCCAAAATATACATAGATAGAGACGCCATTTTGTTAATTTCACTGGAGGCCACTTTCTTATACTTGAGTAAAAGGGTTTTCATTCTACTAACTGAGGACGGTCATTTTCAGAGCTTCTGAAAAGCTCTGTTCCCAATGAGTCACAAAACAGTGCTCAAGAGAGCCAAGCCCTGAAGAGTCAGCTGAAAATACAAATTTTGGTAGAGAAAAGGAAAGGGCCACTCTGCTCTCATGTATCTGGATAAGACTACAACCTTCTTTTATTCCTGAAATGTTAAGACCAAGATTGGCTTCAAGTTTCAGGTCTTCTGTTAGGGTTTTTTTTTTTTTTTTTTTCCTGTACGGGGGAATGGAACCCAGGGGCACTCTCCTACTGAGCCACATCGCCCAACCCTTTTTTTTTTCTTATTTTGAGACATAGGTAGGCTAAGTTGCTTAGACCTCACTAAGTTGCTGAGGCTGGCTTTGAACTTGTGATCTTCCTGCCTCAGCCGCTCAAGTTGCTAGGATTACAGTCATGTTCTGTCCTGCCCAGACTATGTTATTGTTTCTTGATGAATAATGGTGAATTCCTGTCAGTGTCTAGATAAGCTTTTCATGTGTCAGGTGGTATTAGCTTTTCTTTATTTATTTACTGTATTTAGGTTCTACTAGGTACACGAGATGGGTAATCCTCTTCCTTCTCCTTGCCATATACTATTTTAATGGAAATATGGTTTTAAGACTTGAAATTTATGATAAGCTCTAGGTTGGCTATTTTAAAATGATATAGAAATGGTTCAGTTAAAACCACCATTTAGATTATTTTACAGTAATGTCAGTAATAGGAGAATCTGCCTACAGATTGAAATAGTGTTTGTATTTCATTCATCTGTACTATGTATGTGTAGAGCATCCGAGAATACAGCATTCCTACTTTAAACACCGTTAAACTACAACCTGGGGAAGACCATGAGCTCAGTGTCATCCTGGGATCTGGAGAGCAGCAGGATACGACTGTCTTGGAAGAAATAAGACTGGAAGTTCAATTAAGGGAGAAGGGTTTGGTGACAGCTGAATAAGGTTCAGGTACAGGGCAGTAATTGACAAGATAGGGACAAGTCTAAACAAACAGATAGTATTCTAAAATTAAAAGTGGGTGATAAATGGGGATATATTAACAGAAAAGTTGAGAATCAGTTTTAGTAAAGGAAGGTTTCCTTTCTGCTTAGAGTGATCTCGGGGTTCTCACAGCTACACAGAAGTTCAAAGATGACTCTTTCTCCTTAATAAGGAAGGAACAGAGACACAAGATTGTCTGATTGCTGGTCCTATTGAAGTAGCATGCTGGAACTGAATCAATATTTCTAAGTTCATTGTTCAATTTCTTCCAGAAAATTATGGAATGGTTTTTGTTTTTTTGTTTTGTGCAGTACTAGAGATTGAGCCCATGGCCTTGGGCATGCTAGGCAAGCATACTTCCAATGAGCTACATCCCCAGCCCTCTGGGTTTTGACATTTGAGAAGTCTTTCTCTTACTGTAAAATGATTTCAAGTTGGGAGAATTCAGTTCTACAAAGGTTCCTGATGACATCATGAGAAGAGAGAACTTTCTAGAAAACTTTCTTCCTCAAAGAAACATTTTTGAAGCTAACATTGCCAATGACTGCACAATCTATATCAGGAATAGAGTGAGTTATTAGCGAAATGCCTCAGACATTTTACGAGACATAGAAGAGCAGCATGCTTCTCCTGGAAGAGAAAAAGATCATGTATCTAGGTAAAATCAAATTAAAGTCAGTCTAGAACTTAATCTCCTCCCCCAAATACATACCTGAGAAAGTTTTTCTAGAAAGTAGTGGCAGTCGTTGTCACCTGGGGATGGTCGAAATGAAATCCACCTTAACTAAGATGATTGTGATTTTCTTGGTGATGGGGAAGGAGAGTAGAAATATTTCTCGTGGCTGCATTGTACTCTGGGCTTGTTCACATGTCACATTTAGCCTCCAACTACCCCATGATAGAGGAAACATTATTGTCATTTTACAGATGAGGAAGCCATGGGTTTGAGAGGTTAAGCAGCTGCCCTGAATCATGCTATATTCCCTCATACAGGTGGAGTCAAGATCCAGCGTTGAACCGTCCTTTTCTTCCAAAGCATTCCTGGGGAGGTGGGGGGCTCTTGGCTCTACCCATTACCCTCTCCCCACCTGTACCTGAGAGGCTCTCATTATGTTCGAGGAAAGTCTGGCATTGAGTATAGTTTGATAATGAACAGGACACCAAACTTAGATACAGACTGTGCCTTGTGAGTAGAAAAGATGTTGATTCCATTTATTTTAGATCCAAGAAGGGGGAATTTGGCAAGACGTTTTTGGCATAACTGAAAAGGTATTCCCTTGCTCTTTTTAATAAGTTTCACTTAAATTAGTCTTCCTAAAGTTTTTGGTTCTAATAGGTTTGATTAATACAAGGCAGTTTGAGGACTTAAAAGCTAACTGTATTTGACTCATGGCCTATTCATTTTTGTTATTCTTGTTGATTCATATTGTTTGACACAGATATTTTTCTTTTGAGTCCAATTTGCAGTTCTTAGTCATTCCTATGAGCAGACTTCCTCTTTTCCTGACATGACGTCCATGCAGATAGGACACATCCATATCTATCTTTGTATGATCTACCATAGGGGGCCCCAAACTTCATCTATTTTCACCAGAGGGTAAATATTTTTGGCTTTGCAGGCCATGTGATCTCTATTAGGATCACTCAAGGTGGTATTGTGTAAAAGAACAGCTCAACAGAAGAACGAAATTGGTACAACTCTGTTCCAATAAAACAGAAGGCAGGCTAGATTCAGGTCAAGGTCATACATTGTTGATGTCCAATGTAAGAGACAGAAGTCTGTATACTCACAGAAATTAAAGGCCAACCCACATCTCCCTATAAGAGTCCTTTGCCAGGGCTGGATGGATCATGGGGAGAGGCAAAAGTCCCCTGAGGTCTGAGACGTCATTTACATGTGAAAAACCACATCTATCTAAAGCACATAACTGTTGAGTTTTGACAGGGTTTACATCCATAAAACCACCACCATCGAAATTCAAGACATCAGTTTCCAAACTTTCCTTTAGTGCCTCAGTCCAGCTCTCCTTCTGGCCCTGGTGTACGTGAGCACTGATCTGAGATTGCTATCTCACTAGCAATCAGTGTACATTTTCTACGGTGTTATAAAAATGGACTTATATTGTGTCTAGTTTATTTAATTCTCTGACAATTTTGAGACTCAACTGTGCTGCAGCATGTGTAAATAATTTGTCCCTTTTTTTTTTTTGCTGAGTACTATTCCATTATAGTATGGACATAGAATAATTTGTTCATTCATTCACTATTTGGTGGACATTGGGTTGTTTCCAGTCTTTTGGAATATAGCTGCTATCAACATTTGCATAAAGTCTTTCTCTTAACATATGTTTTCATTGTTCTTTGGCACGTTCTAGGAATAGAATTTCTGGGTTAATATTCATACATTAGATATATATTTAACTTTTTAAGACATTGACTGTTGTCCATAGTTGCTTACTATTTTACATTCCCACTCAGAGGATATATATGAGTTTTAGTTTCTCCATTATCTTGACAAAACTTGTTATTTTCTGGGTTTTTTTTTTTTAATTTTAGCCATTCTAATGGGTACATCATTGTATCTCATTGTTATTTTAATTTTTCTGATGTTAATAATTTTAAGCATCTTTTCATGTGCTTATGGCCATTTGTACAATTTCTTCTTTTGTGAAGTATTTTTAGGATGGTTTTCTTTATTATTAGATTATTTGTCTTATTATTACTGAATTATGAGATACTTTTACATATGCCAAGTATTAGTCTGTTCTATCACATGTACTGCAAACATTTTTTTCTCAATTTGTGGTGCAGATTTTCATTTTCTTTTTTTTTAAAAGTTTTTATTAGTGCATTATAATTATACATAATAGTGGGGTTCATTTGGTCATATTCATAGATGCATATAAAATAATTTGCTCCATTTCAATCCTAGGTCCTTCCCCTTTCCTTCCCCTCCTCCTTCCCATTGTCCCTTTCCTCTACTCTTCCTTCTATATATTTCTTGTTTTTTAATTGATGCATTATAGAGGTACATGAAAGTGGAATGCACCAGGAAGTTTTCACACACACACACACACACACATAGCATAATTCAATTTTATTCCACAATTTCTCCCCTTTACCATCTCTGCCTCCTTCTCCTCCTCACATATTTTAATTTCTTTAGCCATAATTCCCCAAAGCAAAAGTTTTAAATTTCAAGCAAACCCAATGTATCGATTTTTTTCCTTTAATGGTTCTTTGTTTTTCTGTCTCATTTTTACTGTCTTTGCCTTCCCTCAAAAGTCTGAAGATTTTTTTCCATTGATTTCTTCTAAAAGGTTTAGAATTTTGGCTTTTACATTAATATTCATTATTTATTTTGAGTTAATTTTTCTATCAATGTAAGATAAGGAACAAGGTTCTTTCTTTTCTATCCAGCCACCTTGCTGTTCTAGCATCATTTGCTGGAATGACTCCCCTCCCTACAGAGTTTTGTTGGCATTTTTGTCAAAAATCAATTGACAGTATACAAGTACCAGGCTTTTTCTGGACTATATTCTGTTCCATTGATCTCTCTGTTCTTCCCTCTAATAGTCCTCTATTTTTACTGATCTAAACACAGAATTAATCTTGAAATAAAGCAGGGTAAAACCTCCATTCTTTTTAAATTTCTTTGAAAATTCTAGAATTTGTATTTTCCATATAAATTTTAGAGTGAACTCTGAAATTGACTTGTGTGTATTCACTTTGCATCTTGTGATTTTACTAAATGAGGTTATTAATTCTAGTCATTGTTATGTAGATTCCTTAAAGATTTTCTGCTTACACAAACATTCATGCTGCTGCAAATATATACATATTCGTACTCATGCCTTTTGTTTTCTTTTTATAGTGACTAAGATCCCCAGTACAATGATAAATAAATATAGAGTAGGCATCCTTACTTTGTTTCCAATCTTAGAGGAAAATCATTTAATAGATCATCATCAAGTATGACGTTAACAATATATTTTTTGAAAGCTGCTCTTTATCAGATTCAAAAACTTTCCTTCTATTCCTCTCATTGAGAGGTACATTTTAAAGAAAAAAAGTGAATAGATGTAATCCCAGCTACTTGGGAGTCTGAGGCAGGAAGATTGCAAGTTTGAGGCCAAATGGGCAACTTAGCGAGACCTTATCTCAAAATTCAAAATAATTTTGAAAATGGACTGGAGATGTTGCTCAGGGTTAGGGTCCCCTTGTTTCAGGACCCAGTACTAAAAAAAAATTGAAGAATATCAAATACTTTT